ATATCACTCTACACGTACATGTTTTGATGTGATCTACGTCATCCTCAGGAGTAACTTACAAGACTATTTTGTACTTTCTCCTTGTAAGTTACTCCTGAGGATGATGTAGATCATGTCGAAACATTTACGTGTAGAGTGATATTTCTTTCTTAAAGTGGAAGCCATATGGCTTCAATGAAATTTTTATTGTATAAATACAAAACGTTGTTTTTAATTATTTATTATGGTTTAAAATAATGTCATATTGTTTTACAGAATGATCATTAATACTCTGTAATAGTGTGACTCTAGATATTTTGTTTTGAAAATAATAGAAAATATAATCATTTCTTTATGGTTAAGTAAGGCTGCATTCAAAGATAAGGCTACTAACAAACAAATGAATGACAGCATTATAAGTATGGTTAGAAAAGTTAAAATAAAGTGATTTTAGAAGATCAGTATATTACAATATTTTATATTGTAGCCTGTTTTTTTGTTCATTCCTTTCCTGTTGCAAACTTAAATCATTATAAAAACTAGTTTATGACCTAGTTTTTCATGCAGTAATATTGGGAAGTTTGAGTAAGACTATAGTTGAGAGGTTTTTAAAGTTGATGTAATGTTAACTTTAATGTAAATTAATATTTTTAATTTGAATATCTTTGAAGCCCAGATATTCTTTTGATCACTCAGCTGTATATTTGACATTGTCTTTAGTTTATTTCTGGAATGATTGTAGGCCAGAGCAAGAGTTTTGACAGTAATCTAGAAGTACAGTCTACCAGTTTCAACATTCCAAACAATGATTGGTTGAAAAATGGTTTAGGGGAAGGTTCTATCCTAGATTATCCTTTCAGTCCAGTGTCCTTTGAAGTACAATGTAAGTGTGTAGATAGTACTTGTATTGTTATTAAGAAACACAAATGTGCAAAGAGTGTTGAATTGTAATTGTGTTTAAAATGGTGTTATTATATTATTTTAGTATGGCAAGGTAAACTAAAAATCACAATCTGAATATATGCTTGCTTAGGAACCAATTAAAATGGAAAAAGCATTTTTGTTTTGTGTTTAAGTATAAGACTTTACATATGAATCAGGTTGTCATGCTACATGATAGATAACGTCTTACTTAGCTGTGAGAAAGTTGAATGCTATTTTTGTTACTTTTAATTAACATTGACCTGTTTTATTTGATAAGATAAATTATAAATATGAAAACATTTATCTTGATTTTCACATGCTCTTTCTCTCTCATACACAGTTAGTATTGAACATTGAGAATGCACTGGGTCAGATTCTACCTTCTACTTGTGCATTAATTCAGTGTTTTAATGCAAACTATAAACTTCTAAGTGAACTTTCATTCTAATGAAACTTTGAAGTTTTAACTGTAATGATGTATCAAAATATGCTAGGATTTGAAGTGTTTAGAATAATATGATGGAAATAACAGATCGTGATAATCTCTGTAAAGCATAAAAATCAAAACACTGAACAAAAATTGTAAGACAAAGTAGATTAGTTTGAATTTACACTTAGCTTTAAAAACTGTAAAATAAAAGAGCTCTATTATAACATAGAATAAGTATAAAGTTTTTACCATAAATTATAATACCTTAGATATAAGTTCAACTGCATTTATCTACATGTTGTTTCAAGTTTGAACATCATAACCAAAGACAAGATGTGAAATATTGGGTCCTTCAAATCAGAAAAGCTCAAGTATTGATTCTGACTAAATCAACTTTGCAAAAACGAAGTACTCATTAAAGAGTAATGCTGATTGTATACAACAGTGTTTTACCAAACATATCTTTACTTCTCTGGATGCAAATCTGTCAGTCATTGGTATAATTATGAAACCTTGGCTCATCCATGACATGTGCAAACACCCAGTAGAATTGCTGACAGTTACAATGATCTTCATAAAAGTCCAGGGTTGTTGTATGGTCAACTGTGGAGCTAGAATTGGTCTTTTTTTTTACCTTAAATTTACTTTATAAGTCTGTTCCTTGCTTTATGCTACCTGATAGTCATTTGGATTGTTGACCCAAAGTCTGTATTTAATTGTGTGCAAGGAATTTCATGAAAATACACAGGTTTAAAATCACACATTTTTGGAGCATATCTATATAGGTGGCTCATTGCTTCATTTGCATTTTCAAATAGAATACAAAATGACAAAACAAATGAAAAATGTTAAAGAGTTCAAACAAGTCTGAATAAAATGAATGCAGATATTACAGTGTGATTTAGAAACAGAAGGGTAATATGACTTAAACTGTACTATTAGTAATTAAAAATTGGAAGCTTCTAATTTCTTGTTGTACCCATAAGCATGTGCAATACAAAAATATCACAGTTTTTTCTGTTATTTACTTATAGTTGCAATACTGTTAATGTTATAGCATTCCTGGTTTTGTCAAAACCAAAGCTTTCTGATCTAATATTGTTAAGCCTGTATTTATAGTTTTTGCGAAGTACAAGATAATTTATACTGGAAATGAGTACTAATACTTAAAAGCATACTTTGACTGCAAAAAATGCATCAATTTTAAAATAAACATTTAACCTATTTAAAGTTTGCCAACTCGGTTAGAGAGTTGAAACTATAGCTGGAAATGATAATTTGTGCTGTGTGACAAAAATGTATTTAACACAGGATCTCTCCATCAACCAGAGGCAAAGCAGTGTTTTTGGGTTGAAGGATAAGAAACAAGAAATTCCAGTAAATGTTTCTTCAAATTATTGCATACACCCCTGAAAAGTCCAACATATGCTTTATTCAAATATACAATCCATATGGTGGTAACATATTTCAGTTGATATTTATGAGCACTCAAAGAGACATCGGGTTTTGGAATAGCTGTACCACATTACCAGCAGTGGTCTCACACACACACAAATTGATTTTTTTTTTTACTCAAATTAAATTATGCAACTTTTTGTCATTGTGTATTTGAGGCTATAGAGAACTTGTTCTTGATCTTCTGATCAGTCAAAGGGCTATTACTACTATCACTTCTGTATTTGTCAGCATCAAACGTATTTTTGAGTGTTGCCACAGCATATCTGAGCTTGCTAGATTGATTTGCTTCAAGCAGGGCTGTCAAAAAAAAGTCCATGATTGCATCCACACTAGCAACACATGTTGCAAGTAAACATCTCAGAATCTTGCACACGCAGGTAAACAGTAGTATAATGGTGATTGGTGATGACATACCAAAGAGTAGCAAAGTTTCAGTCACAGTTAGCAAGGCTTGAAGTTATCTGCTCCAGATCTGTTAGACTCTGGTCTGAAAAACAGGTGGACCTGTCAGTTATACAACAAGAAATACTATTAACTATGGCATTTCTGCTTATGATGTGACCAATCATAAGTTGGAAACTATAAATTGTAATCATTATATCTAATTGTATGCTACATCCTTTTTAGGTTTCCCCACAATTGAATGAATCTCAGATTTTTTCATGTCTGACTTCTGCCATTGAGGCACTTCTGATTAAGGGGGAGTTCCTGTGTTAAAGCAAATAATCTTTCAATAAATCTGTAATTTTGCAATATAAATCTGACAGTCTGTCATTGCGTATTATCTTTTTCTATTTTACTTTTAATTGGCTGTAGCTTTATGACTTCAATTGGATCAGTGGTATGTTTAAGGATTTATAACACTAAATATTAGGGTTCTATCCCTGTGATGGGCAGATAGTTTATTGTGCAGTTTTCACTTACAAGAAATGAAATTTCAAGGCTGTTTATATTTATAAACTTAATTATTTGATTGTATGTTTCCATGTTTGGATAATTTTTTTAAAATGTGCATCAGGACTTTATGCTAACTTATCAAATGTCAGATTCATTATATTAAATATAGCAAATAGATGATTATGGAATAGTGTTAGTCACCATTATGAGATATAAATATTTCTATACACTAAGTGTGTTTTAAAAGGTTACTCAAGTTAGATCTTGGCTAAAGTAGAAATGTGCACAGTGTATCATTGTAATGTGATTAGAGCTAGCCAATTAACTCAATTAATTGATTACTGTCATGTAAAATAACCAATTAATAGAAAATATTCAATCAATTGATGTTATGAAATTAGCATTATTGATTATTCCCACTATCCAGTTAATTGAATATTGTCATTATATTTTCTCATTTTGTTTGGTTTTCATACATTGTCCTTTACTCACCACTAATAACCCAAAATAGTTTGGGTAATATGTCATACAGTCACAATTAATTATCACTGACAAGCAGTGAATTTAGCAAATTTAGTCTGCTGGAATGGGAGTAGTGAATCAAAGGATAGATTAGGCCTGCTCATAATCTTCACTGAAATTTACATTTTGTTGAGTAAAAGGAATTCATAAATATATATCCAGTTAGTCATCTGAATAATAATGGATAATTAATTGTAACAATGTGACATGTTATCCAAAAATCTAAAGTATTTTATATTATTAGTGGTGAGTAAAAGACTGTACATCAAAACAAACAAATTGCTTTCATACCATTGCTGTACTACTACTTTATTTGCTTTGTTCTCCCAAGCAGCACTGTTAAACCATGGATTCACAGAAACTAATATGCTGCAATAGAAATAGTGATTCAAAGTATAGATAAGAATTCTGTCATCTTTACTGAAATTCATTTTTTGGTGAGGAAAAGCATTCATAAATAAATTATTCATCATCATAGTTTCAATTAATTCAAGGTTGTTCAGCTTAATTGATTTGTGTTATGATTCACAAAAATAATCACTAATCAAAATCAGCACTTCCAATTATTACTATTTTAAATTATTCTAAGTTTTCAAGTTTCATGTGACAATACAGGTTAATCAACTAGCAAATTCCACTAATCAGCCAATTATAACTTTGGTATGTTTGTTTCCAGTAGTTCAAAAGTTTCCCCAAGATTTACTCAAGTGTAGTAGCTTTTGTAGTTTACTTTCAGTTAAAGGGAAATAATATAAGACTTAAGACTCAGAAATAGAATGAACCTTTTTTACATTGAATTTATTGTACTTTTATTGAAGATATATCCAAACAATGTACAAAAACTAAAAAAAAAGTTTAGTTCTGTAGTGCATTTAAAAAAAGTTTATTTAGATATTGGTAGAACTGTTAAATTAGTATCTGACTCTGTATTTTTTTTACATTATACACTTCATTAAAAGATGCAAGCCATTAAAGAGTAACTTTGTTCGAAGTAAGGTTTACTGTTTGCAGCAAATTAGTGGAACTAAATAATAATGCAACCTAACTTAAAATTGGCAAATATAGGTAAAATTTTCCTTCCGTATGTAAAAAATAAACTGTAATAATATTCAATGTTTCATTTTGTAGCATAATGGCAAACACTTTTGGTATTGTTTTAAGCTATGTTTTAATAACTTTATTTAGGTTGTTTGTTGCTAGAGGAAGCTAATCATGATGATGATGTAATGATTAGAAATTTTATATAATAACTAGCAAACAAAAAATATATACATGACAGAGTGAATCAGTGGGTTAATGAATAATCAGTGAATGATTCAGTTCAGCAGGGGACTAAATATCTGGGTTTGCATCACAATTTGCAAATCAAAACAACCTCAGTTGCAAATCACTTTCCTCTTCGCTTAGCATAAGTTGCGAATCATTCCTTTCTCTTGTATGTTGCCTTCAAGAATTCCCACAATACAGTTACAGTGCAGTAACATTTCAGTTTGATATACGTAAGCCAAACCTGATGTTCAATTCCCACCAAATGGCACATACAGTATTTTCACACTTTGTCTTGTGCTTATTGCATACACATACACTTTGTAGTAGTCTGTTTATGACATTTGAAATGTGCCTGCAGCCTAGCCAACTAGACTATGTATGTACGGTACATGCACTGCACATTTAGCATTAAGCAGGTTACAAACTTTCTCAATACAGGCTCGGTCCAAAGGACAGATCATGTGACCATTTTTACTTGTATATAGTTTTAATACTGTAACTTCTAATACAGTATATGTATCTTCACACAATTGGCAGACTTTTAGTAAACATTACAAGTCTTTTGTACAGAAAAATCTGTTTCTTAATGAAATATTTTTACCAAAGATTTGTTTGTGAATATTGCCTTTTTTTGACAAGTCCAATTGCAAAACGATTTTCGTGTTAAGATTAAAAATACTTCATTTCTAAAATCTCGATTGTCAGTTACATAATCTATAAAACCTCCTAAATACATTTCAAATGTTTGTTTTCAGTAAAACTTTATATTTTATCTGTTATTTTCTGTATGTCAACTATATACACATTTTATCTGTTTGACCGACCTTGTAACCACCAAAAAGAAAAATTGAAATAAATCTAAATTATCCTTTTTTTTCTGTCTAGAATTACTTCAAATTTGTAACATGAAACTACATTCGCTTATCCTGAGTAGCTTTATACTTGTAACAGTGTATATCTGTTTATACATAAATTTTATTGCCCTTTGAACCATGTCTAACTACTAGTACTATTCATGCCATTATAATATAAGTTGTAACTCACTTGGAAAACGTGTGGCTCACGTTATGCTATCAAATTACATTACCCTCATGCTACTCCAAGCTGCTTGCATGCATGCCTTTTGACAATATTTTTTATATATTATTTTTATTATTATTTATTTTACCTAATCTAACCTTAACTAACCTAACGAGTTTGCTATTTTTAGATTTTAGTTACTTTTATTATAAATAAATAAATAATACATATGATTAATAATAAATAAAGTACTTATCTGGGCCTTCTTTTTTTTGGCTGTCAGTTGTTGATAACACTTAACTCTACTTTTTTATACTAATGGTAGTAATGTACTGAATAATTTTTATTTAAGTAAATAATGTACCAAAGAACACAAAATAATAACATGCAAAAAACAGACAATGTCCCATAACTATCACAATTTTTCTGGCTTTCTAACCATTACATATTTATCCAACCTAGTCTGTGTTTCTTGTGGGAACGAAGCTTATACTGAAAGATAAATTATCACTTTTATGTACAGAAAACAACATAATATAATACTTCATTTAATAGATGAAAACCTTGGCTTTCTATTGGTTAAATATGATATAGTATTAAATGTAAGAGAGAACTATTGACAAATCCTGAAAAAGAGGATGTTATAGGTGGGGGCAGCAAGAAGGATCTGATTTTCTATTTGATGGCTCTGTAACCAAACAAAATTGAAGGCTATGAAAATTATGCTTTATCTGATTGATGACATTATAATGAGTAATTTACGTTAAATTTCATACTTCTTGGAGGGATAGTAAATATATTAGAGAAGAGGGGATGCCTAGAGAAATGATGTCACATTTCTCATACTAGGTGAAATTCAGAATCTTTTTTTAGTATTGCCTTATGAAACTAAGAACTTAAAACTTGTGTATTATTAAAATATGGATTATTAGCTATGATTTTATGCTATACTAAGGTATAACATAAACAAGTTTCATAAATGAATGTAAGTTTAGCCCTCTATCACAGAGCAATAGTGGGAATAAATACATCTTGGTTGTGATGGACTGTTTCACCAAATGGTCTAAAGCATATGCTGTTCCTAGCTGGGAAGCAGAGAAGTTGGCAAGGAAACCTGTTAAAGAATGTCTTTCAAAATTGGAGTGCCTGTGGAACTTCACTTAGATAAGGGACAAAACTTTGGATCAGCTTTCTTTACAGAAATGTGACAGAACCTTGAAATCAAAAAGACCAAGACAGCAACCCTTCATCCATTTGCTGATGGCATGGTCAAGAGATACAACAATGTACTTTTAAATCAACCAACATTTATGTGAATGAACATCAGAAAATGTGGAATCAAGATCTTCCACTGCTACTTATGAGTTATCAAATGGTAGTACAAGAAGCTACTAGCAACACACTATTATCACTGATATTTGGGTCCATTGGATCCACTGTACTCCCATCTGTAGGATAGTCAGTCAGAAGAGTTTTGTATAGAATATGCAGAGAGAAAGACTAAGAAATACAATTGATGTTATAAATTAATTTACCTGGGAAAGACTTAGATCAGCCAGTAATTAAATGAAAAGTCACTATGATGTTAATGCTGATGAGAGACTGTATTCCATCTAGGTGACATGGTAGGGATATACAATCCTATCACAAGAATGGACAAACTTCAAAATTATAGAAGTTTTGGAAAGAACCATATGTTGTACTGAAAAAAATCAATGATGTGGTTTACAGAATCCAGAGGACAGGTGGTCCAAGCCATAGATAATCCACCATAATTGTCTTTAGAAGTACATTGGTGAGAGAGAATGCTGTGTGGGTAATTTCAGAGAAGAATTTGCCAGTGGGAAGTCAACCTGCTGAAGAGCCCAGGGTTCTTTTCAAGATCACTTCCACAGGATCATTAAGGATAGATCCACCAGTGGATTTGTTCAGCCACCTACCCAGGGAGAATTCCCCCAATGACATGACAGTAAGGAACAAAATGCCATCCCAGCTGCATACCATAACCCTTAGAAAAGAAAAGCATCAAAAAGTTATTGGACTGTTTATTATCCTATTTTATTTGTGTATTAAAATTGTATAAGGGACTTCACAATCCAAGAAGGGTACAGGGCTATGAGCTATATTTCTAATAATTTAATGTTTGTTGTTTGAGGGAGCTAATCATCATGATTGTGACATAATGATCTAGAAATTTCGTGTTTTAAATAGAAAACTAGAATGGTAATCAGTAATCAATGTCATATTTGTTGGTTTATTGAGTGATCAGTGAGAGATTTAGTTCAAAGTCAGTTAGTGAGTTATATTGTAAGATTTAGTGCATCTGTGTTCCAGTTACTGAGTGAGTTGGCTAGTGTGTTTGTTATTGATCAGTTAGTGAGGAAATTCTGCAAGTAAGTTTATTTGTGAGTTAGGTATATATTAACTTCTGTGTTTCTGTTAAAACAATGTTCATGCAGTAAGGCCTACAAGCAAACTGAGCCTAAAGTAGAAGCTATTGAAGAAATAAATTAATTTTTTATTGTTAAATGGACTGGACTTGGCATTAATTTTACCAAATAATTCAAAAAGACCCACACAATGATTGAACACATTAAACAGTATTATATGCTAATGTTCATCCAGTTAGTTCTTACTTCTACCAAGATCATAAACAACTGACAGCTATGGATGATCCGTACTGTTCTTTTGTTATCTATTTCATGTTTTAGATGATGTAAAATAGAAAATATATGGACCATCTTGGAAATAACATGTAAATTGTTTAAGTGAATAGACGCAACTGTATTTATTTAAAATATATATTTTAGGCTCTCATGTATGATAGTAAGTTATTTTTGTAATACTATGTAAATTATTTTATATATATATTTCTCTGAATAGTTGATCCAGATTCTCTTCTGAATCAAGTTGAAAGTGACTCTGTAACTACGTCTGGAGTTGATAGTGATATTCAAAGATATCTTGAATGTAAGGTTCAGGATCTTACTCTTAATGAAAAGATTTCTGAAGAAGTGAAGGATGAACAAAGACAAAATTATGTTCCTAGTCATCTTCAAAAAAATGTACCACAAGATGTCAACCATTTTTATACTCAATCCAAAGAATGCATAAAGGGCAGTGTAGAAATTGGTTTGGTACCTGTAGAAAACAAAGTAAAGCTTATACCTGAACACATCATGAAGCAAAAACCCAAACTTGATCCAGTACCACTCATGACTATAGATAATAGCAATTCATATAACTCTAAACAGGCAATTCATATTACGAAGCAGGAGTCTAGTTCTGAAACTAGACGTGCAGAAACAGAGGGGCCAGAGGAAGGAACAGACATGAGTAACTTAGCTGAAAACATTATCAAACAACAGCAATATGCTGAAGATGAAAAACAAGAAAAAAATGTAAATATAAGTTTGGAGAAGTTCATCACACAATCAGTAGAACCAACTGGTGAAGATGTAGAAGCCAGTGAGAAAAGACAACATAGACACTCAATAAAAATTGAGGACAAAAATTCTGAAAAAATTCCCCTACCTTCTGGGTTACCTGCTGTGAAACAACTAGCTCTCAGGATGAGTTTAGCATTAAGAGCATTTGTTGTTACTGGAGATCTAAGAATATTATTAATAACTCTTCGTCATCTTGTAGCTGTACAGGATGAAGAAGGAGATAAGTATGTTTGTTTGATTGTTTTCCAAAACAGTTTTGTGTTGATGTTGTATTTAAAAAAATGACTATCATGAAAATAGAATTTTTTAAAAATAGAGCATTTGGAATTACCAATCAAATTTAGGAAATGCAGATGAAACTAACAATTTCCATTCTTTTGATGTTGTTATTGTTGTTGACAAATTTTATATGAATACCAATAACATTTTCTAATAGAATAATCTATAATTTAAGAATTTGTTAAATTCAAGTTAAACATGTTAAATCACAGAATATTGATGCTAGAAACCTGTAATTTATCTGTGAAAGGTGTAAATAGAAATGATCAATGTGTGTGTGTGTGTGCACTATCATATGATGGTACACCTGAAATCATTGTCACATTGGTTAGTTTTGTATACAAAAAATATAACCTTTCATCATGAATCATTATTACTTGATGAGTTTGTTTATATGGTCACACACAAAATAAATAAGGTGTAAATATTTGAAATGACAAACATGGATTTTGGCAGAGATGGTGCCTAGATTTTGTGTCAAGTGATATTTCTATTGAAATTAGAAGTCTTAATGCAGACACAACTGTTTTATGTTACTAAACTTTAATGGAGTAATTCCACTTCCCAAATGGCAGATGAGTGCATACCTAATCCTGACACTGTTTTTGAAACATCACTAAGCTGTTAGTTGTAGATATCTCTGTTCACATTATGTTTCCTGTTTTGATAAATGCAAGATATTTTGGAGATTGTGCTCCACTGGAATAAGTTGTGGATGATATTTCTAATCCATTTTTCTAATATTTAATATCAGGTCCAGACCTTATAAATTACATGATTTTTGGGCTGTTTAATGGCATACTCAAACTAAATGTGCCCAAATTATTTCTGTAATAATATTCATAATATTATTCATGATATGAAAAACCTAAAAGAAAAACTATTAGTTATTGCTTATTTTTCCTTTGGTTGCATTACCAGATCATCTACTTTAGAAAGGTGCATGTATATAGTATGGACCAATAATTTACCAATCCTTATCCTTTAAATGTTATTGCCTCAGCATATACCAAGCAGCTAGTCTACAATATTGAAGAGGGAGTATATAGGTGCACTTTATGCTTACTGGTACAGCATTATCTGATATAGATAGGCTTAGTCGTATAATATACCTGTAGGATGTAGGCCTATTTTAATATGTTCTGTGTCATTCCTGTAGCAGACTTGGTTATCTTTTAAGGAATTATTTACATTTTTCAGTTAGTTTAATGAGATGAACTATGAATTGTAATTGTCATGTTATGTGTACAAGCATGTTGAACATATCAACAAACTAGGCATGGTGATACTTTGTCACTGATAAGCCTCTTGAGAATTGATTGCTCCAGAGATGGTTGAGCAGGTTGATGGATGATAATGAATAGAACATCTGTACTATCAACTCTGTTGATGAGGAGGAAAATGTTGGAAGTACATAAATGTCAGTTGGAAGAGTTAGATGGGGAAATGCGAGTAGAGAATATGTTTGACTGCTCTGATGACTGGCTGAGAAGCTGGCATCAACCTCATAATCATTATGATTGACAGTAGGGTAAGGTCAGTTTATTAAGAGATCAGTGACAGATAGGAAGTGGTATTTCTTGATTTCGTAGCTATCAAAAGCTATTAATGGTAGGACTTCTGTGACATGTCATTTGATAACCTTGATTATAGAGCAGTTGCAACATTTGGATGATAAGGCAATGAATGACTGAATGGGAGTTGTGAATTTTACTTTTCCTAGCTATTGAGTGGTTTAGAAGTGAGATATTGGTGTGATACTTGCAATAATAATTCAATCTGTTGACTTAGTTGTAACTACTTCAACAAGCAAGTCTGCATTATACTCACTAGATAAACACAAGACAAATGAGGCTGTCACTTAAGATTCCAGGTCTGTACCAGTATTCTTCAAGTACAATAAGGGAATTATGCTCTAATGTTGTAAGAAAAATTCTGATGGACTGAATAAATCTTTAAAGAATGTGTATTATTTGTTATATTTTTCCGAGTTAATTTAATTACGGGCATTTAAAGTTAAGTTTTAAAGGTTCAGGCCTAGGAAGGATGTATGTAGTTGAAACTTGCTTTAATCTTTATCTAAAACTAAAGTTAATTAAACACTATAGTGGTTATTGGGTAGCTTGTGCTCTTTTTTTAGGTGTAGGTTGGTCCTGTTGTAGAGCTCTGGAGTTTAATGCTGGCAAGATAGGCTCTGATCTGTGCAATACCACAAAATATTCTCAGCACTTTAAGTTTTGGGTGCATTAGAAGAGTGACAGTTAATTACTTAGTGTTTATGATGGGTGGTGGGGTGCTGCTGAATGTCTGCCTTCCTTCAAGTCAGAAGTTCCAAATTAGGAATTGCATCATGTAGCCTCTGTAGCTTTGTTATAAATACAAATAAATTTTGTGTCTCTTCCTTATTATCTTTCCCCAGAGGATACAGAGCATACTCAGTTTGAGGGATGGTACAGTGGTTTTGCTTTATCTAAGAACACCACAGCTTCACTAATGTGCAGAACTTATTGTATATAGCAGAATTTTGTATTTTAAAAACATTCTTCTTTTGCCTTTTAGCTAATGATAGATACTTTATTTTCTAGAAATATGAAGTTTCATAAATTAAATCTTTTTTTTTTTAGTTATCTGAAAAATATTTTGTCATTTACATAATTTAAGAAATGGTTTTATTATTATACAATACAGTATATATATTCAGTGCCTGACTGATAATATGAAGACCACAGCAAAGCTTATCTGAGGAATATTATGATTTTAGTGCTATCAAATGAACAATGAACGTCTGAATTTTAAAAATATATTTCTTTCTAATACTTACTTAATGAATGTTTTTATTTTTTTTAAGTGCTCTCCACCTAACAATTATTCATCAAGCTAAGCAACATGTTCAGCAACTAGCTCTGATTCATTGTCTCCTGCATGTTCTCGAAGGACTTCCAGGACAAGTCATCAATCAGTGTAACAACTTACATCAAGTAAGATAGTAAAAACAACAATATTGTATTTGTGTCATGGACTAGAACATGTGTAGCCATGTAAATATAAATGTCTTTAACCATATGGTTAAGGTTTTTTGTAAACAAGTCAGATTTTGTTAAAAGTATATTTACTAAAAATTTGTCTGTGAATATACAAAGTATTTACTGAGTCAATCAGAGTAAAAGGTGTGTATCATGCTAAGAATAAAAATTTCATCTCACAGTTTTATTTTATTTGCATAACCTGTAGAACTTACTAAATGAATATCTATTTCTTTTTTTCAGTAAAACTATGTTTTATCTCGTATGCTGTCTACCCTAGCTCTATAGTAAAATCATCAATGTACAGTGAAATGAAAAGTTGTAAAATACAAAATAAAATAAGTAATACTTTGTTTTCTAGAATGACTGTAGATTGTAACAGACAATTACTTATCTTAAAGCTTTAGCTTCTAACCTTTCACATCAGCTTCCTTTTAATTTTACAGTTTTATTGCTTTATTTTAGACCCCCTTCTCTGCATGAAAAACAATAAATTTTAGAGAATATTGTATAAAGTGTAAAATTCAGATGACAGATGTGTCACATGGCACAGAAGAGTGAAGATTGGGAATTTGTTTAATATTTCGTATCATAATTGAGAAATTAAACTTAGATGATATTAACATTTGGATTATAAATTATATTTGGATGCATAGTTTGTTGATAATAAAGTTGTTTAATTAAGTTTTGAAGGTAACTAACAAAGGTTGTGGCATGCACATCTTGACATTCCCATATGCATAGGTTTAATTTAGTAAAAAGCAAAGCTAATCTTCTTCAGCAACACCAGTACACTAAATTAGCCATTTTTGATAATGTTTTATTTTTACATTTTTTTGCACCAAATTTTTGTAAAGAATGTATTCCTCTCAACTGGCTAAGGACAACTATATCAACAGTTTAACTCTTAACGAACAATGACACAAGTGTGATTCATGAGTTTTAAGAGAAATGTACAAGTTTCTTCTCTAGCCTGTATGGCTATGAAAGGGCTCTTCATGTGCCAAAATTGGACAGATATTTAGGTAAAGAGCTTAACTCTGTGTTTGCTAGAAGTGTAATTATCATTATGCACATTCAACAATAGTTACTTTTAATCATTTACAGGGAATCTGGGTTTTTATGTAGAATGTGGTCAGGTTTTTGGCTTTTAAAAAAATGCATACTTACAAATAGCCACAGGAAGGTTGCATTAAAATTAAAAAACCTTGTTTAAAAAATGTACATGTAAGATTATTAGGTTATAGTAATGAGAAAGCTTTACCCCAACTACTAAAATTTGATCTGACCAGTGCCGTTCATATGTGTGTGTTTTATTTTCTATAGACACCACTGTTCTTAGCTGTGGTAACAGGAAGCTACAAAGCTATCCCCCCCTTGCTGTTGAATGGTGCTGACCTTAATGTTGCTGATAATGAAGGAAATACACCAGTACATGTAGCTGTCAAGAAAGGGGATGACACTGCCCTTACCCTGCTTCTTGAAAGAAATAACTGTTCTCAGCATATTTCTCCAGTTGTTAATCTAAATAAATTGAATTATGAAGGTGATTTCTTTGATGATCTTATAAAAAAACTTATGAATATTTTACTTTGGTTTGAAACTTAAGTTTATAATAAAGCTTTTAAGGTTACAAAAATGTGGTTTGAGCAGAATTTTGTCAAGGTCATATTATTTTAAACTTTAAGCCCTTAGTTTTTAAGATGGTTTAGTTTGTGAAAATGTAAACATTGTAAAATATTTTGGAGGAAAATTAAAAAGCGTACTTCAGATAAATGTTTTTGCAATTATAAAAAATCAGTAAGAAAATTTGAAAATTATGAAGTATTTTCTTCATTTTTATTTAAATTGCCTGTATTTTTCGATACTATTAATGGTAAAATGATTTTCTAGAGTACTATTTGAGGCTATGGAAAGCCAATTGTGAATTTGTTTTACATTTTTTCACCATTATAACGTCATTTCATGTTTTTGCATTACTTGTTTTGTACTTTTTTAATAATCAAACAAAAATAAAACATGGTACTATCACATGAGGTTCACATACAGAAAGTTATGTTTTGTGATGATGATTTTTTTTCTTATAAATATTATGTAGTTAGTCATTCAAAGTTAAATAATTAAATTGAATGTTTGATGGTAGTTCCATATAATATTATACATAGCATGATATTTGTACATCATCCTACAGTAATTCATTTAACATCTGTTTGATGATGTTTAAATAATTGTTCTGGTTTCAGTAACCCAACCAAAAATCAAGTTATTTTGATTTTTACAGGGTTTGCTCCTCTTCACCTAGCAGTACTGTATAATAGAGAAAGATGTATTGACAGACTGTGTGAAAGTGGTGCTAATGTTAACATAGCAGATGGTACAAGTGGGAATACAGCACTACATCTTGCTGTAGAACATCAACCTCATCTTGTTAGGGGATTATTGAAAAAGGTAAGTAAATTACAGTGAAAATTGTCAATCAGTATTGTCATATGATAACATACCTAAAATCCCATAAAGGCAAATGTCCTTTTAGCCAAAAAAATGTGAATTTTGTATACAGTTTGTGTGTGTAGAAAATTTAATATAACACAATAAACTCATGTTTACTTTTAAAATTGATTTTTTATGACAGTATCTTAATGTGTCAGTTTCACTGCTGTTTAAACTTTTTAATTTTTCTGTCATGCTTGGAAACTTTGAAAAAGTAAATATCAGGGCTGACAATTTTTAGATTATAATAAGATTTCATATAATTTTGTTTAATTTGTATTATAAGAAAATTCTGTGTATCTTATCTTCACTTAGAAAATCTGCAGTTAATTCAATTGTGTAGTGATTTATTATGATTAATTATTTTTTCAAGATTATATACAGTATTGTTCAAATTTACCCCATTGTTTCTGTACTTTTGTTTTCCCTATAAAATGAAATCACTGTAGTTTAAAGTGTCATAAAAATAGGCAAATTATGAATTATCTCAGTTTATCCATGAAATTGGTATGCTACACATTTAATGAGTTTAAAATTATAAGAGAAGAGCAACATACAGCCACATATGACTTAATACAGTAGGGTTTTTAAAGTTGTTCAAGGGGTCTAATCTAAACACAAAGCAGTGCAACATTGTCACACATGATTGTCTTATTTCTGTGCAAGTGACAAAAATAGGTATATAAAGGATGATTTTTTTTTTCAAAATCGTCATCCAGCACATTTGACAGAATGTGATATTGTCTTTAAAATGACAAAAGAGAGAGAGAGATAATTAACATGCTTTGATAGAGTCAGAGTCAAAGATCTGTAATGTTCACTAAGTATCATTGGACAGATACTAGAGAACAGTCCTATAACATTAGAAAAAGCAGAGTACAAAGAAAAAAACTCGCTGAAAGAGTTTTTAGATGTCTGAAAATTAATTTTTTGCAAAAATGATGCCAGAGATGGCCACACAACATAATAGTATTAGGTAAATTTAAATAAAACACTAATATTGTAATAGTTTCTTCTAAGATTTATTTGTAATAATTATAAGTTAAATTGCTCAGCATATCAATGATTATTTTGTGTAAAGCTTATAAAATGGAAATTGTTGAGGTGTTCTAATAAATTTGCACACTATATTATAGACATTATCTGCATGCTTCTTGTATTGCAAGAAAGCTACATGAAAGTACTGTGAACATGTAAATTCCAGAAGAGACTTGTTTTAAGACCAAACTTAGTAACAATTTCTTCATTGTCCTTCATGGTAGAATAATATGTGCAGTATATTGTTATGATATATTTGAATGCTTTGCTCCTGTACATTAATATTAATGTTTTTATTTGAGATAAACATCCTACTTCATGTCCTACTATAGCAAAAACTAGTAGTGGAAACCCTGAAATTGTGAACCACTTCTACAGAGTCTGTTTTATCAATAGTGATGGACTAGTGATTTTTTGATTTTTTTATAGCCTGCTTCACTTAACTGTATGGTGCCAAGATGGGTGCATCCTACCCTGAGAGCAAAATTGCATCATTGAATTACAAAAATATAGGATATTTATTCATTAAAAATGTTTATTTACTTTTAGACATAAAACAGTTCAAAAAATTACAAATTTTGAATTTGAGTTGATTTCAGTGACTTCTGAATGAAAACTCTTTGTGAATTCCCAAGAATTTTTCTGACCATAATACAGCACATATATTTCCTTATGAGGAACATGGAAATAGTTTTGAATAAAATATTGCTAATTTGAGCTGTGTAACTTCAATCCAAATTGAGGTATTTGATTTAAGCTAGTCTGTTTCTCAACCACTCTTGTACATCATTTTGGTTTAACTGCATTTCTCTCAGCTTAATGAAGTTATTGGCATGTAATGTAAACATGTAATGAAAGCTCTTTTTCTGTTAATTTCAACTGTACAAGTCAATGTGGCTTCCAGTGTAGTGGATATTTGTGAAGAGATCAGAAGAGATCTTGGTGGTACTTTGCTAGTTCAACCACAATTACAATCCTGATCTTTTAAGCTTGCTTTATTATTTTATACTTTATTTGAATTATGATGTTACAGTATGCTAAAAAAAAGGAATGCTTTTCTTGAAAGAAAATGGGGTAGGCTTAGTTAATTATTTTGCACTCAACCATATCAAGTTTTGTTTTTTACTTCCAAAGACACTGTTTCTTAAGTCATGTTTGCATGAAGTCTTATTAGACTAAGTAACTTGAACTGGCAAAGAAGCTCACTGAAAAATATGTGAGAAAAATATATATAAATGAATATAGAATTGCTTTAAGGCTTATTGTTAAATGAAACCCTCTGGTTAACAGTTTCAAAAAAAAAATTGGCTTCCTTATAAGATTTATATGATAAAAAGTTATATTTATTGTATGCCAGTGATCGTAAACACAACGAAACTGTGTTCAGTATTTTTCAAATAAAAAAAAAACAAAGATAAAAACGATAGAGAAGCATGTCCTACACAGATACAGAAAGACATAAAAAATCGGTGATTGAAGCATACAAGAAAGATAAGCTTGTTTCTTTAATTGTTTTGTAAACATCACAATGAAAAATATTCAAAGCTGCAAATATATACAAGTATCACATATAAAAATGTTTTACTCGCAGAAGCTACATAATATCATTTCAAGTTTCAAAGTACTTCATCCAATAGTTTTTTTTTCAATGCAGTAAAACAAAATATACAACATATGCATCAAGTCAATGCACCCAGATATTTTAAAGTTACTGTGTACCTCAAACAGGTGAAAATAGTTCAAATTAACTATCACATGTAAGCAGTATATAGCTTTGCTGCAAGGTAATTATAGGAAAATGAAAATTTCATATTTTACCAGCATGGTATATGTTTAAATAAAGGAGAGAAGTTGTATGTGTGGTAAATTTGCAAACTTAAAATAAGTATTTCCAACTCATAACTGATGAAAATACTGTTAAACTCGGACATTGTTTATAATACCATTATTTGAACTGAGTGATACCAAATTGTCAAGTTTTGGTGGACATTGTTGAAGAGCAAGATAAAATATGCAAGTACATCCTGATCCATATTATCATGAGACAAATAATTAAAGATTTTATTAACTTAATATGAATATAATATGTTAATTGTAAAAATATGAAGAAAATGCTTGCCCAAATAAAACTAATTCATAGTAGTATGTGAAATCATCGTATTACAACATATGACCAAATCAATGTCTGTTTGCAAATTTTTTCTTACATTTTATTAATTAACTTCAGTCCTATAACATTGATCAATGTTAGTTTACAGTTGTTTAGGATTTACTGAATCTATAAAACATTATTGTTTAAGACATTGAAACCAGTGTTTATTAGACTACTTTTCATCAAATATGTGAATCTTAAGATTTGATATTTATGAATCACCTTTGTTATTATGCATTTTTGTGTGTTTTGTTTTAATGCAGTTAATGTGAAGTTTCATTTTCTTTCATTGTAAATGAAACTATTGTCACAAGATGGAATTAAAGCTTAATAATGTCTTCTCATGGAAGTTCATTCCTCTTTTAACTGCTTGTTGTTTAACAGATCTCTGAATTGTCATATATAT